GGTGGTGGTGGTGGTGGAGGTGGCGGTAGAGGTGGTGGTGGTGGTGGTGGTTGAAGTGGTGGCGGTGGAGGCAGTGGTGGCGGTGGAGGTGGAGATGGTGGTGGTGGAGGTGGTGGTAGATGTGGTGGTGGTGGTGGTGGTGGTTGAGGTGGTGGCGGTGGAGGCAGTGGTGGTGGTGGAGGTGCTGGTGGTGATGGTGGCGGTAGAGGCAGTGGAGGTGGTGGTGGTGGCGGCGGCGGCGGTGGTGGTGGATGTGGCAGTGACAGTGGCGGTGGCGGTGGAGGTGGTGTGGTGGCGGTGACAGCGGCGGCAGAGGCGGTGGCGGCGATGGTGTGGTGGTGGCTGTGGCAGTGGCAGTGGCAGAGGTGGTGTGGCGGTGGTGGTAGTGGTGTTGGTGGAGGTGGTGTGTGTTTGTGTGTAGTGAGGGAATTTCAGGGATGATAAAAACAACTCTAATTTTAGCCCTAAGCATTGCTGACTTGCCTACTAGCTTAAAAAATTCATCATCACTGCAAATTTTCACTGCCATATGATACTTCTTGTTTTCCTACAAAATTACTTGTTCTGTTATTTATTTATTTTTTGACAGTCTTGTTCTGCTGCCCAGGCTGGAGTACAGTGGGGTAACCTCAGATCACTGCAACCTTGGCCTCCTGGGCTCAGGCAATTCTCTTGCCTCAGCTTCCCGAACAGCTGGGATTACAGGCATGCCCCACCACGCCTGGCTAATTTTTTTTTTTTTGTGTGTGTGTATTTTTAGTAGAGACAAGGTCTTGCCATGTTGGCCAGGCTGGTCTGGAACTCTTGGCCTCAAGTGATCTGCCTGCCTTGGCCTCCCAAAGTGCTAGAGCTACAGGCATGAGCCACCATGCCCAGCTATTGCTGTTAATGTATTAGTAAATTTTTATTTTATTTTTATTATACTCTTAAGTTCTGGGATACATGTGCAGAACATGCAGGTTTGTTACATAGGTATACATGTGCCATGGTGGTTTGCTGTACCCATTTACCTGTCATCTACATTAGGTATTTCTTCTAATGCTATCCTTCCCGTATCTCCCCTCACCGCTACAGGCCCTCGTGTGTGATGTTCCCCTCCTTGCATCCATGTGTTCTCATTGTTCAACTGACACTTATGAGTGAGAACATGTGGTGTTTGGTTTTCTGTTCTTGTGTTTGCTGAGAATCATGGTTTCCAGCTTCATCCATTTTCCTGCAAAGAACATGAACTCATCCTTTTTTATGGCTGCATAGTATTCCATGGTGTATATGTGCCACATTTTCTTTATCCAGTCTATCATTGATTGGCATTTGGGTTGGTTCCAAGTTTTTGCTGCAATAAACATACGTGTGAACAATGCTGCAATAAACATATGTGTGCACATGTCTTTATGGTAGAATGAGTTATAATCCTTTCGGTATATACCCAGTAATAGAATTACTGGGTCAAATAGTGTTTCTAGTTCTAGATCCTTAAGGAACTGCCACACTGTCTTCCACAATGGTTGCATTAATTTACACTCCCACCAACAGTGTAAAAGTGTTCCTATTTCTCCACATCCTCTCCAGCATCTGTTGTTTCCTGACTTTTTAATGATTGCCATTCTAACTGACATGAGGTGGTATCTCAATGTGGTTTTGATTTGCATTTCTCTAATGACCAGTGATGGTGAGCTTTTTTTCATGTTTGTTGGCTGCATAAATGTCTCCTTTTGAGAAGTGTCTCCTCATATCCTTCACCCACTTTTTGATGGGGTTGTTTTTTTCTTGTAAATTTGTTCTTTGTAGATTTTGGATATTAGCCCTTTGTCAGATGGATAGATTGAAAAATTTTTCTCCCATTCCGCAGGTTGCCTATTCACTCTGATGATAGTTTCTTTTGCTGTGCAGAAGCTTTTTAGTTTAATTAGATTCCATTTGTCAATTTTGGCATTTGTTGCCATTGCTTTTGGTGTTTTAGTCATGAAGTGTTTGCCATGCCCATATCCTGAATGGTATTGCCTAGGTTTTCTTCTAGGGTTTTTATGGTTTTAGGTCTTATGTTTAAGTCTTTAATCCATCTTGAGTTAATTTTTGTATAAGGTGTAAGGAAAGGATCTAGTTTCAGCTTTCTACATATGGCTAGCCAGTTTTCCCAACACCATTTATTAAATAGGGAATCCTTTCCCCATTGCTTATTTTTGTCAGCTTTGTCAAAGATCAGATGGTTGTAGATGTGTGGCGTTATTTCTGAGGCCTCTGTTCTGTTCCATTGGTCTATATCTCTGTTTTGGTACCAGTACCATGCTGTTTTTGTTACTGTAGCCTGGTAGTATAGTTTGAAGTCAGGTAGCATGATGCCTCCACCTTTGACTACTATAGCTATGTAATAAAATTTGAAATCAGGTAGCATGATGCCTTACCATCCCATGTCATTTCCTCCTTTTCTGTTCACACCATTTTGAATAATGTATTCCTTAGGATCCTTTCAAATTACCAATGTATTTCCTAATAATTGGTTGTATGTGCATTAAGAATCTCTAGAAGGAAGCACAAAAAACAAATAATGGTTTTCTAAGAGCTAGTAAGCTAGGTGGGGAAAAAACTTTTCATTGTATATTTTTACAACTCTTATTTTTGAATAATGTGGATGCATTTGATATATGTATGCATGCATAATATATATACAAATATATATATAAATATGTATATAGATGTATGTGAATAAATAAAATGCAGCAATGTCTAATATAACTATTTTTCTTTGCATTTATTCTAACATGCACACTTTTAAAAAAATTTAACTTTTATTTTACGTTCAGGGGTATATGTGCGGGTTTGTTATATAAGTAAACTTGTGTCATGGGCATTTGTTGTATAGATTATTTTATCACCCAGGTATTAAGCCTAGTACCCATTCGTTATTTTATTCTTCCTGATCCTCTCCCTCTTCCCACTTTCCATCCTCCCATCGGCCCCAGTGTGTTGTTCCCATCTGTGTGTCCATGTGTTCTCATCATTGAGCTCCTACCTATAAGTGAGAACATGCCATCTTTTTTGTTGTGTATGTGTGTGTGTGTGTGTTTTGGTGGGAGGAGGTTGAGACAGAGTCTCACTCTGTCATCCAGGCTGAAGTGCATTGGCATGATCTCAGCTCACTGCATCCTCCGCCTCCTGGGATCAGATGATCTTCCCACCTCAGCCTCCCAAGTAGCTGGGTACATGCATGTGGTACCATGCCTATCTAATTTTTGTGTTTTTAGTAAAGACAGAGTTTCACCATATTGGCCAGGCTGAGAATGTGCAGTCTTTGGCTTTGTTTCTGCACCAGTTGCTAAGGATAATGGTCTCCAGCTTCATCCATGTTCCTGCAGAGGACGTGATATCATTCTTTTTATGGTTGCATAGTATTCCATAACAAGAAAACTTTTACTTTGGCACATCTTTGGACTTTTATACTTTTTATATGATTGCTAATATATTTTAGGAGGAAATTTGGTATCTATCAGTATCTATATAATATAGTATTTTTTCTGGAATAAAATATTTAAAACTGGACATCTAAAATTAAATTATGAAGTAAAAGGGAACTCAACTTTAAAAAATAATTTAATAGTTAACTTGGATTTCAAAAATAATTGTTCATATTATCTAAATTGATACTTAACTATATTGTGTGAAGACATTTAAAAACCAAGGACATCTTTAACCTGTGAATTAAAGTCTCTATTGATGGCTTTTTTTTTTTAAACTATGGAGACCTAAGGAGCTAGAGAGATACAATAAAAGGAAGAACAGATTTTTTAAAAATGACATCTGCTTAAAGAAGGAGAAGTAATTAGATCTACTATCTTCCTACATCAACCAAGTATAAAGGTAAAATAAACTATGTTTCAGATAAACAAGATCTCAAAAAATTTACCTGCCATGTACCCTTTCTGAGGACAGTGCTGATAGATGTGCTTCACCAGAACAGGGAAGTAAACCAAGAAAGAGGGAAAAGAGATTCAGTGCAAGAAAGTTGTAAAGGAAGCCTCCAAATTAATGGGAAAGGAGATTCTAAGAAAACAGTAGGCAATCCTAGGTATCAATCATACAATTAATGTGGTCCAGAAGGTTCTAGAAGAGACATCTTCCAAAAAGTAAAAGTGATAGTGTACTTAATTTGTTTGAATATGTAAAGAGGAGATTTATGGGGGAATGTTTGTAAATTAGTGATAAATACATAGAAAACTAAGCTAATGGAAAAATAAGACAAATATTCACTTTAGGAAAAGAAAATGTAAGGGGAAAAGCAATCATATTCTATTATATTGCTGAGCTTTCTTTGTCATCTATGTATTGTCATAATAACATGTTTACTGAGTATTGATTCTAACTTTACTAGGATGATGGATAGATGGGAAGTGTTTCTCTCTCTCTCTCTCTCTCTCATCTCTCTGTGTGTGTGTGTATGTGTAAGAGAGCAATATCTTCAGTTTCCATAGAGGCAAGTTGATGTTAATGCCTAAAACAGAAAAATAAAAAAAGTAGCAACATAAACATTTTTTTCCAGGGATATGCAAAGAATATATCAGAGGAGCCAAATCTAATTACCTCTGGAAAATTGGTAATGAGAGGAAAAAGAAAGGCTGCTCTTTCTCATATGATCTATAGAGTTGTTTGACTCTTGTCATAGGTTGATTTTCTGGAAAGCGGATTCTGAGATGGATGCAAGAGGCTTATTGGGGAGTATTCTTGAGATCAAGGAAGAGATGGGAAGGAAGAACAAGGGAGCCTGTTCTTTATATGTCAGCTCCTTTGGGGAGGTGGTAGGGTAGACAGTGGATCTAACAGCAAATAGCATATTCATCACATGGAGTGTATTTGTGCTCAGTCATAGGAGTTGGAGAACAGGACCTTCAGCTCTTTTAACTTTGCTTTCTGAAAAAATGGTATGTTATTGTCATACACATGCCTTAATTCAGTGGTTGTTCTACACTCAAGATGCCTCCCATAGAAACCTCCCTTCCAAAAAAAAAGGAGGCACGTGGGTAACACATAAAAGATCTGGGCATTCTCGCATGGCAGGGTTTGGGGAGCACTCTGTTAAATTCATTGTCACTCAGATTTATTTGTCCATAGACCCGTTTTCAAATCACATGATGCCATCCTAAGAAATACACTAATAAACTCATTTGACTGTTGTTGAGCTTTTTTCAGGAATGCAATCCCTAATGTTGTCATTGTTCTTAGAAGGAAACATGACTGTCTTTAGAAGGAAGATTCCAAGAACTGGTTGACTGTGGTGAAAACAGAGTCTGCCTATACATGCCTGGGTGAGCACTGAGAAATGGAAACAAAACAAATAAAGCACACCTTAGGCAAAAGAGGAGAACTAGGGGAAAGAATGAAAATAGGGGTAAGGAGCGGAGGCTGTTTTGAGCCAGGTTTGAAAGATGCAGTAAGCATCAATGGGAATCATAAAGGCCCAAATGGGAAGCAGTTTTGTTTGCTAGTTTTAAATAAAAAAGTTTGGAGCAGGGGAAGGCTTTCTCCTGGGGAGGCTGGATGGAGGAAAAAGATCTTATTAAGGAAGAGGTGGGTTGGATTTCAGGAGAGGCAGGCAACTACACAGAGGTTCAGGTGAATGAGATCATTCCGTTTCAACCTAAACTGGCTGTGTCTGGAGCAGCCAGACATCATGAGCCTGAGATCTGGCAGGGACTCTGCAAAAACAGGAGCAAACCAGCCTGGGGGAAAGAATGAAAATTGCAGAGCATGACTTATGTGTTAGGCTCAGTCAGTCAAGATCAGTAACGCTCAGTGTGTCTTTGATTTTTCCACCTGTGTCCTATCTGTTTGGTAAAACTTCAGCTTTATCCTCTGAAACAGAAACTGTAGTAAGTGGCTACCCCATTGAAAAGGTCTGAGGTAAAGAACAGTAAATGAAATTTATTAAGGAGGTAGGATATACCAATGATAGGATTGGAGATTAATGAAATAGAAAACAGATATACTATAGAAAGTATCAATATAGGCAAAATTCGATTCTTTGAAAATATGAAGAAAAATAACCTGACAAACTCCTGGTTAGGGGGAGGTTTGGGAAAACAGAGGGGTCTTTTGATTCTAAGATGACCTTCTAGAGAATAAAAAAAGTGTGCGCATCTTTATCTTTGGTCTTATAGGAGAGGGTGAAGGAAGTGAACTGGGTGGACATGAAATTACTTGTAATTGAGTAAGCCTGGGGAAATTTTACCAATAGAGCTAATGGTGGATGTGAGGATCATCTTTACAGGTTCTAAGCATTTTTCTCTTCTGAAACTGAGTGGGGGAGGTTGTTTAAAATATTAAATAGATACTAAAAAACATTAAAATATACACATAGGGTAACAAAATTATAGTGATAAAAGCCAGTAAGTGGTTGCAAGGGATTAGGGCTGGGAGGAGGGTAGGACTCTCAAGAGGAAGGAAATTGTTTCTTACTGTTAATGGATCAGTTCTGTATTCTGATTGCGATGGCAGTTACAGGAATCTACACATGCAATAAAATGTCAAATACTCTCAAACACTGTACATGTAAAAACTAGTGAAATCTGAATAAAGCCTGCCATTTAGTTCAATGTCAGTTTCCTGGTGTTGTGAATTGAACTGTCTTTATGTAAGACGGTATCACTGGGGGAAGCTGGATGAAGGGCTCATAGGAACTCATTGCGTTCAATGAATTCACAGGACTCAAATTTCTATTTGAAATTTCTATATAAATATGAAATTATTTCAAAATTAAGAGCTTAAAACACTGGGGGGGCAGTTAAATAATAAGGATACAACAGATATTCATTACCAACCACCCACTTGAACAGTGCATTACCATTACTTTAGAAAGCTTCAAAGCACTCTTTCCAAACCTCTTCTCTTTCCCTCTCCCATCATAGACAACTACTAACTAGATATTTGTATTTATTATCTCTTTGCTTTTCTCTATAGTTTTAACTACATGTATTTATATCCTCCCAAATATATTGTTTAGTTTTCTGTATTTTGAATGCTATGTAAATGGAGTCATTCTGCATATGTTGTTCTACCACTTGCTTTTTCACTCAACTTTTCCTTTCTGAATTTAATCAATGCAGCTTTTTTTTTTTTGAGATACAGTCTCGCTCTGTTGCCCAGGCTGAGTGCAGCAGCAGGATCTTGGCTCACTGCAACCTCTGCCTCAGCCTCCCAAGTAGCTGGGATTACAGGTGCCCACCACCAGACCTGGCTAATTTTTGTATTTTTAGTAGAGAAGGGGTTTCACCATGTTTGTCAGGCTGGTCTTGAACTCCTGACCTCAGGTGATCCACCTTCGTTGGACTCCCAAAGTGCTGGGATTACAGGCATGGGCCAGTGCACCCAGCTGTCTGTAGCTTTTTTATTTATTCATTGAGGTAGTCATTGTGAATACATTAGAGTTTATTCCATTGTTTATCAACATTTGGTCTGTTCTTAGTTTTGTTTTTTTTTTTTCCCCCAATTACAAACAGTGCTGGTATAAATATTCTTTTACATGCCTCCTGGTAAACAGAAGAATTTCTCTAGGGAATATACCTAGGGGCGAAATTTCTGAGTCAGAGAGTTCAGCTACTTTTTGTATTTACTAAATGATGCCAATTTATTTTCCAAAGTGGTGTAACGATTGCTGCGTATTCTCAGTCACATTGGTATTGTCAGGATTCTTATTTCTTCTGTATGTGGTAAGTGGAAAATGGCATCTGATCATTATGGTTTAAAGTTTTTCCCCAATTTCTAACAAGACCGAACATTTTCCATGTATTTTTGCCATTTCTTTCTCTTCTGTGAAATACACATGTAACGTTTTTGCTTATTGATCAGTTGGATTGTTCATTTTTTTCTTATAGGTTTATAGAATTCTTTGTATATTTTCGAGCTCCATTATTTATGTTGTGAGTAACTTCTCCCAGTTTCTGACACTTATTTTTTACTTTCATTACAGTGTCTTTTATTTTTATTTTTTATTTTTTGAGACAGGCTCTCATTCTTGCCCAGGCTGGCGTGCAGTGGCACGATGATGGTTCACTGCAGCCTTGACCCAGCAGGCTCAGGTGATCCTCACACCTCAGCCTCCCAAGCAGCTGGGATTACAGGTGTGTACTACCATGCCTGGGTAATTTTTAATTTTTTGTAGAGACAGAGTCCTACTGTTTCCCAGATTGGTCATTCCAGTGTATTTTTAGGAACATAAACTTGTCATTTTAATGAGGTTGATCTCATTTTAAGAATCATTTTATTTATAATATATATATTTAAAAAATCTGTATAAGCTAGGAAGTTATAAAATTGTCAACGTGTATTAATCTCTGACTAATTTTGCTTTTCAAGTCTTTAATATACAAGAAATTGGCTTTTATGTGTGATATAAGAGGTCTAATTTTATTTTTTAACACATGACTAATATGTTGTCACCATAACCACATATTGAAATAATTAATATTTCATCCAAGTGTCTGCAATGCCAGCTCTAGGAAAATAAATCAGATTTCTATGCATGTGTAGGTATGTTTCTGGATTCTCTATTCTGTTGCCTTGGTCCATCTATATGTTTTTCCCCCATGCCACACTATCTTAATTGCTATAGCCCTAGAATAATTGTAATATCTGGAAGACAAGATCACTTGTAGGGTTCTTCGTTTTGAGTGTCATATATTTTCTTGGTCCTTGACTTTTTCATATTCATTTTGGGATCCGTTGCCAGGGTTCTCGAGACGCTTATGGAAACTTCCATTTGAATTACATTAAATACATAAAGTCATGTATCTTCAAGTGTATGTTCTTATAGACTTGAGAACATTTTGCAGCCAAATAGATCATATGTAGAGCATTATAATGCATTAGATCATGTGGCATATCAGAGGCAGGGGGTTGGTTTGGTATGAAGTTGCATGAAGCTGGTGGTTCTTTCCCAGCTCCAATATGTCACAATTTAATAACAATATGGAAAGAGATTTTATGCTCAAATTGCCATGAACAGAGTTTTCACCTACAAAGGGTTGTTCCCCAAATCAGGAGATCTCAGGAATTGCGATTACTATTACATGAGTACAATGAATTGCTATTGCAATTCCAATGAAGTTTGTATTTCTGGTGTGCTTAGTACAAAACATTGCAACCTGAAAGCAAATGCTATAGAATATAGCAGTCAAAAAAGTCTTTTGTCTTTAGTACGTCTATCTGTGTCTTCCTATCCATAAAGAATTTGTAATAGTTTTTTAGAACAAAGACTCTTGATCCAGTTCGGAGAGAATGTGTGATGATTATACAAATGTGGGTGCAGGTCAAACATAAAAAATAGGAAGAATGTAGACTCCTCTGCTCTCAGATCAAATTAATATTCCTTTTTTTTTGCAGTTTAATTACGCCTAAATACAAAAGCCATGTGAAGCCCGAAGATACTGGATATATGAGATTTGTCAAGCCATTTTTCCTACCACCAATGCCTGAACATGACCTCATTTATCTTGATCAATGAAGCTCAAGGAAGCATTGCACTTTGGCTTCTGCTTTAAGTTTTGTATGTTGATGTGTATCCCATGTCTTCTAACAATAAAGTGCTATTTTTCTGGCATTAATCACTGTCAAAGGCTTTCTGGTAAATTCCTTAGGCACTCGCCTTGTGGGAAAAGGCATCAGTTTGCCACATCCTAAGAAATGGGTTGTTCGTAATGTTGTGTCATAACTTGATTCTTGTGAGGCACTGGTTGAACACAATAATAGACCAGAGTCAATGACGATACACAGTGGCCAACCCTTAAAAGATGGCTCCAAAAGTTAATTCTTGTTTTCATCTGCCTATAGTGTCAATTCAATTGACAAATAATATGTGACTCTTGGTCATATTAATATGCTTCAGAAAGGGCACCACTTTCAAATCATCTAGGTATTTAATCTAAAATTAGATAACAGCTTCTAGCGGCCTCTAGGTATACGGTAGCCAAACTGGATCCTTGCACTTAAGAAATTTAAAATCTAATACATGAAAAAGCAAGTGAACAAAATAACCTTGATTATCAATCAGACAACTGCATTAATTGAGCATCCATTGGAGATAGAGCAGTGGTCATCAAACTTTTCTGTATGCTTTTTTCCTAAAATAATTTTTGAAAGCTGGATACCTTCTCCTGCTTCTGCTGCCAATGTGGGGGTATCAAAAAGAAAATGCCTTTGAGGGTTGCTATGCAGGCATGATACACAATGCTAATTAATGAAGACTGCTTCAGGTAGGATCAAAAAACATGACTGGTTTATTAGGATGCAAGAAAGCTCAGGTTTGTTCCTTTAAATTCTAGGTTGATTAAACACTAACATTTCAATTAAATGCCTGCATGTGTCAGGTCTTATTGTAAACACTATATACTTTATGCCATTTCAACTTCACAAAAACCCTATCAATTAGGTGCTAGATTTATCCTCATTGTATAGAGAACTAAGGTTACTGGAGTTCAAGTAATAGGGAAGCGAGCATCAACCCCAGGAATTTGGCTCCAGAGCCCATATTAACAACCACTGTATTCTCCTAACCCTTTCAAAGTCAAGGACTGTCTCTTCTGTGTGGTCATCAAAACACTTTTTGTCCGGAACCTAGAGGCATCCTTGAGTCTCTGTTTCCACAGAGATTTGTATGTTTCAGATGGGAAGGGCTGCTCCGGTGTTCTGGACGTGGCCTCCAAGGATGTTTTGTATGTGCTGCATTTTCTTTTCTTTTTTTTGAGACAGAGTCTCACTTTGTCACCCAGACTGGAGTGCAGTGGCAAGATGTGGACTCACTGCAACCTCTGTCTCCTGGGTTTAAGTGATTGTCCTGCCTCAGCCTCCTGAGTAGCTGGGATTACAGGCACCTAGTATCATGCCCGACTAATTTTTGTATTATTAGTAGAGACAAGGTTTCACCATGTTGGCCAGGATGGTCTCAAACTTCTGATGTCAGGTGATCCGCCCACCTCGGCCTCCCAAAGTGCTGGGATTACAGGCGTGAGCCACCACGCCTGGCCGGGTGTGCTGCATTTTCAGCATGTATACAAAGTGTCTCCTCATGGGGCTGATGTGTGGGAGCAGGGAAGCCAAGCTCACTTTCCAGAACCCAAAAGGGCAAAGTGACATCATAAAATTGTCAGAATGTCCCTTGACGCAACCTCACCTGTTTGTAGCATCATGTCCTTGGTGAGCCCTTCTTCTGTTCTGGACATGAAGGCGTCACCCAAAAGTCAATCTGACCCGCAGAAGAAAAGAAAAGAGGAAAAGAAAAAGCCAGGGAACCGTAGCTCTTTCACCAATTAAAAAATACCTTTGGCCATTATAGGTGGCTCACGCCTGTAATCCCAGCACTTTGGGAGGCCGAGTCGGGCGGGTCACGAGGTCAAGAGATTGAGAGGAGCCCGGCCAACATGGTGAAACCCTGTCTCTACTAAAAATACAAAAACTAGCGGGGCGTGGTGGCAGGTGCCTGTAATCCCAGCTACTCGGGAGGCTAAGGCAGGAGATTGTTTGAACGTGGGAGGCGGAGGCTGCAGTGAGCCGGGATCGTTCCATTGCACTGCGGCCTGGCGACAGAGGGAGACTCAGTCTAAAAAAAAAAAAATTAACTGAAGATAGAATCAAGTTCTTTTTGAAGCAAAAACTGCATAGTCACAGCTGTTAGTAGGGAAAAAAAAATCTAGAGAATCAAACACTTGTCCTCGTAGGTTTTCATTACTCTTGCCTTGGGACCAGATTCTCTCATTAGATTAAAATAAATGTTTTCCATCATGACCAAAAAATGTTTTATACAAATTCCATTTCCGAGAACTCTGTGAATGAAATGGAAACCCCCTTTTCTGGTTGCGGGAAAAAACTGAACCAAAACAAACCCCACAACCTCCCAGCTCCTTCTTTCTTAGGTACCCCCTGGTTTTGCTAGGTGGCGCCATAGGCTAATGCATGGGTCTTCCTCGGCTGCCCGGGCGGCCTCCTTCGCTGAGGCGGGAACAAAGCTTTCTGCGGCTCCCTTGGAGTTTAAAATTCTCAGACCAGCCCATGGGAGGTGAGAGCCATTTGCCAGACTCTGGCCTCTGTCGTGCTAGGAGCTGCCCCCTCCCGTTTCCTGATTGATCACAGCTGGTCATGAGGGATTGTTGGCCACGCGCTTTAGCAGCTCCTGAGGGAAGTTCTGGGGGATTTTAAACTTGATCCTAAATATTGTGTTTCTGTTTATCTAAGTTTCCTAAAAATTGTTCATGAATTTGGGGAGGAAGGCTCACGCCCATATTGAAGAGTGAAAGAAAGGGACAATAATTCAAAGGTTTGCACCAACTCCGTCCCAATCCCCTGCATAAGGTCAATGCGTGGGGCAATCCCAATCACTGTCCTTCTTGAGACCCCGATGTTCCCCATCCTCGGCAGGGGCCAGGACAACCTTTCATGGAAGGCCCTGTTGTAGGAGGGGCGGCACAGGTCCCACAAGCCCTGTGGAGTTTGGAGGACACCGTGGCACCTACTGACTTAGCAGAGAATCCCCTTTCCCACCCTGCGAGAGGCCCGAAGCTCCAAATTACTGACTTCTTTGCCTTAAAGCATTAGAGACTCTCCAAACGCAAATAAAGGCTTTACTTGGAAACGTTAATCCATTGCAAAATGGCACAGCTCGGAGAGATCCCCAGGGAGGAGCTGGTGATGGACAGGGCGGGGCGGCGAGGGCTGCAGGGAGGAAGAGCAGAGCACTGGAGTGGAGGCGACCTCACTGCCTCGGGGCCTGCGTGAGGGACCACGGCTTCCTTTCGCCTGCAGGGTCTGCAGCCTGGGGGTCCGATCCGTGATGGCCAAGGCCGCATGCCCCAGAGAATGTGGATTTCAAATACCGTGCTGATAGCTGCTTAAACACCCACATGTTAGTCCGCCCGTGGGTGCTGGTTGGGGTTCAGACACATTCCTATCCGCTGAAATCTGCGTCATGGTGAGGGGCAGCCCTGGCAGTGGCCGCGGGTGCTTGTTGGGGACACAAGAGGGAGGAGGAGCCTCAGCCAGGTGGAAGATCATCCATATATTTCAAGAAGGAAGCTTTGTAAACATGCAGACTTGTACAGCACAGGAGACTCAAATAGGAATGCCCTACACATTGCAAGTCAGAGGACAGTAAGATTCCAGAAAATACACAGAAGGGAGGAAATGGGTAAATAATGTATTAAAATCAAAACGGGAAGAACAGCTTTTAAAACTTGACAAAAAACATATTTATACATACAGATTATATATTAATATACATAGTAATGTATATATGTCATATAGATATATATTTATAGAGAGAGAGTCACAAGAAGACAAGGAGAAACACAAATACCAAAATTAGAGAGAGAAGAAGCTGGAAATAAAAACATGTATACCTATGGATTTTCGTGACTATCTTTTGATTTCACCTCTGATACTCCTCCCAAAAGCATTTATTTGAGCAATTGTAGGAATGTCTATGATGCCATGTTCATGTCAATATCTCTGTTTCAACCTTGAGGAATCTAAAGGCCCTTCCTGCATTTATCTCTGTCACAGGAACAATGCTTCTTTTGGCAGTAAACATCAGTATACTTAAGTGCCATGAGTCATATTTTCAATTTTTAATTAAATCATGGTCTAGCTAAGGTTTGATTTATTTTGGCCTGAATTAATTTAGACCCTGGTCCACATAAATTTACATAGTTTATTTAACACAGCTCATGAGTGCACAAATTGTAAAATCCCTTACACAGATAGCTACAGTGTAGATTGTAAAAACCACCCCTTTATCCAGCAAGGAGTGGTAGAATATAATTTCTGGGAGTGGCGTTAACTTTATTCTTAAAACTAGCATCACAAAGGAAATGTGTTGTATTCCTAAATAAAGACATTTATGAGATCATCTAAAGATACTGCATCCCATATGTTTTCACTCTAAGAGTTCGAGTGATATGGTAAAGCCTCATTAAGTGGTGCTGATGCGTGCTTTTTTCTTTCTTTCCCAGAATGCTCACAGAAGGTCATAAATCTATATAGTAGGCACCCTGCAAAAAGCTCATCTGCCGCACTCAAATATAGTAAATACTGTTTAAACAGCAGAAGTGTGAGTCATACCGATATCATTTTCCTAGAATTCTGATAAAAAAGCATCATGGCTAATTAATGTTCCCAAGAAAGAGTCACAGCTTACAGGAAATGAATTGGAAGGTGACAGGAAGAAAGGGTGGGGAGCTCAGAACGCTCTGGCTCATGATTGTTGGCGAGATCCTTGTTCCTGCAGCCAGGAATTGACAGCAATCACAAGGAAGCGAATAAATCACGCTACACAATGAAACTCAGATTTGACCAGACTGGAAATGCAGGGATGGAGAGACACAGAAAAGATGGAGAGGAGGGAAGGATGACAGGAGATGCTGGCCAGAGGGTTGGGGGGTGAAGACTGGGGTTCCGTGGAGAATGGCCGAGGGAACAGCACTGAAACCCCCTCTGCTATTGATTTGGTCTGGGCCTTGCAGTTAAGTTGTTTTTGTGAGTTTGATGTTTTATGGCACTTCTGAATGTTAAATGTGATTGGATGAGCACAGTTGGCAATTCAGCATTCATGACTCAGTTGAACTTGCA